GCATGGGCCCAGTTAGTGCTGCAGTTACAACGTGACCTTCCCTGTCTCACTTCCTGCTTGGGGGGACCCAGGCACTCCCCTTGCACAGCCTGGGCTCCCATTAGGCTACAGCTTCCACCTTGGTTTTCTAGGTAGGCCCAAGGCAGGAGCAGAGCACATGAACCTGTGAGCCTGAGCCTCTTCAAGAGCGGAAAAAGGCACTCCTGACTGGCCCCTCATTTCTGCTCCTTCTCACTTACCTCCCTCGAAAAACACCCCCACTCATTACAGAGCCACAGCCGGCCCCGGCTCACACCCTGCTAAAGGCACTGAACAATTAGATCGTTAGCACAGCCCCCACCCACCTGCTCCAGCCCCATCACTTTGTTTCAACTCCAGTGCCTACCTCTCCATCCATGGCAGGCTGGCCATGGGGTTTTTGCCCTGCAGGGCCCCTTCCCTCCCTTTTTTCCCCCAATTAGGGGCCCCTTTTCTCACAGAGAGCCCCTTTCTAGCCAAAGGCCTCCCTGCCTCCGAGAAGTAAGATGCTGTCTCTGGCCCTGCGGTGGCCCCTAGTAGCAGTTTTACTCCAGCTAAAAGTCTTTCCATAGGGGAAGCTGCCATCCTGTGACCTTCTGGCCTGGGTACAGCGGCTGCGATGTCTATGATAGCTCTTTCTTCTTTGGCTCCCCCTGACTCTTTGTCTCTTCTTGTCCCAGTTTCTCTGAGTTCTCTGGAACTGTCTTCCCTTGGCCCCTTCATAATGACTTCTATTTTCCTTTCAACTCACCCACATTGTCTGGACCGGGATCCACCAAGACCTGTCAGATCCCTGATTGGATAGATACCTCTTAGTAGTGGCCCTGTGTTGACCCCCTGTTCTCAGGGCCCTGGAGCCCTCAGCCACAGAGGGGTCAGCAGAACCTCAAGAGTGTTCGTCCCCAGAGCTGCAAGTGGAACAGAGCTATGGGGAGGGAGGAGGTGACCCAGCAAGCAGGCCTGTCAGAAGCCTTCCTAGGAAAGGCCTGTTACTGACTGGCTTACACATGCCTTGCTTGTCCCCAGATTCACAATCAGGGCTGAGGGCTTCCAGGGCCCGGGGGAAGGGCTTGTTCCTTGTCTTCCCTGTCTAAGGTCGATGGGCTGAGGTTGGGCAGAGCCTGGCACCAATGCCCAGCTGCTGTCCGGCGTTCCCACAGCTCCGATGCCAGTGTGTGAATGAGGAAGTGAGGGGAGGGTGTGGGAGACGGGACTCCCCACCATCTTTTGGCTGGGATCACAGCCAAAACCCTGAGGCTCCAGGAAATGATGGAACTGGGGAGCAGCCATGGGGTAGGTGGGGGCTGACTGGCAGCTCTCAGGAAGGAGAGTCCAGCGAGGCTGGCATGGGCCAAGCCTCCTGCAGGATGAATGGATGACAAGGGCCCTCTCTTCCCCAGGGCCTCTCCACAAAGCTCTTGGCTATACTGCTGAATGGGAGGGGGTGGAGAGGAAACTGAGGGCCACCCGAGGAAAAGCAAGGTTGTTCCCAAAGGCCTCTGCACTCCTAGGAGAAGGCCCTGGGCTGGGGTTCCCGGCCTGGGCTCAGGCCCAACTTCGGCTTGGATCTGCTGAACTAAGGGGCAACTTTCTGAGCCTTTCTGAGTCACTTCAGTTTTCTCTGCCCTGGTTAGTGTTCCCTCGCCTCTTGATTCTCTGCCTCTACCTCCTGACGGACGTTCTCGGGGCTGCGCAGGAACAGCCCACTGCACTTTGGGCACCATGGCCTAAGAAACTTCCAAGTTGCTGCCAATCAGTGGCCAGTGGCCTGCTACTTGCCAGCTGTGTGGCCCCCAGGAGCCCTCTCGGCTTCCCAGACCTGTCTGCCAAGGGCCTGGGACATTACCAGGATCCGGTGACATGTGAGGGACCAGGGTGGCCAGCACAGCTGCTCTCCAAGGTTCCTTCCGCTTGCTGGTCTGTGTGTCCCACAGAGCTTTCTTCCAGTTTGTGACTGCTGAGCGTGGGTTGTCCTTTCACAATAAACCCCCATGGTTTTTGCCTCACCTTTCCAGAAGCCTCGCTATATTCTTTCGTGTCCAGTTCTTTCCCAGACTGACCATTTTTCTTTGGTCAGTCCTTCTTGGAGTCTAACCTTTCATTGTAGGCTGCCCCTCCCCAGGGGATGGCCTCTTTCCCAAGCTACTATGCAGCTGGAACCCAAGGGGAAAGGGAGGGGTGGCAGGCTCTATGGTAACCCTGAGAAGAGAATGCCTTCTCTCCTCATCTGCATATAGACAGACTCATCTGCATACAGACAGGCTCTTCTGCATATACTCAGTGGGACTCTGAGAGCATATACTTAAGTGAGTGACTGCCTGGTCCCACCCACTTCAGTCGTGGAATCCCTGTTCAGGGAGGAACTCCTCTCCGTCCCCTTGCCCTTCTGACCTCGTCTGGGTCTGGCTAGGTCTTTCGGTTACTAAAAAGCAGCCCACCCTCTGTAGCTACCTCCTGCCTCTGCTTGCTCCCATCCCAATCTCTTCCCTGGTCTGTTGAGAGACCTCCTTACCCCTACCCATCCTCCACAGATCCCATGAGGTTTCTAGGGAGCTGCTAGAGCAGGCACAGGATTGGCTCAGGACTGGCCACCACTTCCTACCCCTAGGTCCCTGAAGACTGATGCTCCATCCTGGTAGTGGGAGGGGATGGCCAGTTTTCACTTGCCCACACAGGGACCTATCCTTGGGGCCACAGTGGGTCCTAACAAGGTTGGCCTTGGAAAGAGCCCCTGAAATGAAGGCTAAGACATTAAGAAGCACTATTCTGACCTGATGAGCTCCTTAAATAGATCCCATAGCCCTAGGCAGACACCAGGCCCTGTCCTTGTGGAGGATCCTGAGGCTCGTGGGTCTCAGGGGCTTTCCTAACGCTGACATGTTGAGGACCCTGCAGCTGGTCCTATCCCTCCATAGACTCAGCTCCTCTGTAAAATGAGGACTTGACTAGACCAGGGCACCTAAGCAGGTTTAGAACCCAGGGCCTGAGCATGCAAGGCAGACTCTTTGGCCCTGAGCAGGCAGAGGCTACGATGACTCTGGAAGAGCCATCTTCAGGCAGTGTCCAGTGTGTGTCAGTGCAGGGATGCTGGTGGAGAAGCACTGCAGTGTCCAGTGTATGTCAGTGCAGGGATGCTGGTGGAGAAGCACTGCAGTGTCCAGTGTATGTCAGTGCAGGGATGCTGGTGGAGAAGCACTGCAGTCCAGTGTGTGTCAGTGCAGGGATGCTGGTGGAGAAGCACTGCAGTGTCCAGTGTGTGTCAGTGCAGGGATGCTGGTGGAGAAGGACTGCAGTGTTCAGTGTGTGTCAGTGCAGGGATGCTGGTGGAGAAGGACTGCAGTGTTCAGTGTGTGTCAGTGCAGGGATGCTGGTGGAGAAGGACTGCAGTGTCAGGTGTGTGTGTGTCAGTGCAGGGACGCTGGTGGAGAAGCACTGCAGTCCAGTGTGTGTCAGTGCAGGGATGCTGGTGGAGAAGCACTGCTGTGTCTGGTGTGTGTCAGTGCAGGGATGCTGGTGGAAAAGTACTGCAGTGTCAGGTGTGTGTGTGTCAGTGCAGGGACGCTGGTGGAGAAGCACTGCAGTGTCCAGTGTATGTCAGTGCAGGGATGCTGGTGGAGAAGCACTGCTGTGTCTGGTATGTGTCAGTGCAGGGACACTGGTGGAGAAGCACTGCAGTGTCCAGTGTGTGTGTCAGTGCAGGGATGCTGGTGGAGAAGCACTGCAGTCCAGTTTGTGTCAGTGCAGGAATGCTGGTGGAGAAGCACTGCAGTGTCCAGTGTATGTCAGTGCAGGGACGCTGGTGGAGAAGCACTGCAGTGTCCAGTGTGTGTGTGTCAGTGCAGGAATGCTGGTGGAGAAGCACTGCAGTCCAGTGTATGTCAGTGCAGGAATGCTGGTGGAGAAGCACTGCAGTGTCCAGTGTGTGTGTGTGTGTGTGTGTGTGTGTGTGTGTGTGTGTGTGTGTGTGTGTGTCAGTGCAGGGATGCTGGTGGAGAAGCACTGCAGTGTCCAGTGTGTGTGTGTGTGTGTGTGTGTGTGTGTGTGTGTGTGTGTGTGTGTGTGTGAGTGCAGGGATGCTGGTGGAGAAGCACTGCAGTGTTGGATACAGTGTTGTGAAAGCACAGAGCATGCACAGTGCTTCCACGCCTGTGGATTGTCCCTGGGAGCGCTTTGAGCTAATGGATGCCTCTTCAGAGGGAGGGTGGATGGTTCAGGTGTCTCCTTTTCTTTTTGTGTTGTTAGAATCATGCCATGTATAATAGCATATTTTCTTTTTTTTTAGACAAAATCTGGGACTCAAACTGAAGTTTTATGGAAGGATTGGGTTCAGACAGGAAGGACTGGGGGCAGTTGAGCCTGAAGGGTGCAGTTTGGACTCTGCTCATGCTCCAGCAAGGTCTCTTAAAGGGTGGGAGGGACTTGTCTTTTCAGGAGTCTGTTGGATGTGGGTGTTACAGGGGAAAAAAGATCAAGAGCACAGTCCCAGTTTCTTGCCATGGCTCTTCCGTGCTCCCTTGAACTCTGTGTCGGGTCTTGTGGCTGAGAAGTCCTGCCTGCCATCTGCCTTGCTAGCCCTAGTCATTTCCTTCTGTGTCACTGAGAGGATAGAGAGAGAATAGGATTGTAGGATGGGGTGCTCCTCCTCTGTGGACCATCAGACCAGGAAGCAAAGAAAGAAACTTTGCTGAGGGAGGCAGCAACCCCTGATCCTTGACTGAAGAGCAGCTCCACTCTGGTTCTTGCCTGATGCACCCCTGGCTGGGAGAGGAGTTTATTGCTCTGATGGTCTTGGAACCCCTTCTTGTAAAGCTGGAGGCTAGGAGAAAGTGTGGGGAGAGCTGTTCTCATACCATCCTAGTCCTGCAGGTAGGCTTCAGGGAGACCCACCTGGTGTGGCTGTGTAGTGTTGTGGTGTTGCTCTATTATGGAGAACCCAGCACTCCCCAGTCCCTGCCCAGAACATCCATAGGCAACTACTGCTGTTCAATCTGCAACACTCTTTATTGGACATGGGATAGGATTTAGGGACCAGCTGAGAGGCAACAGGCAAAATAGATGGGCCAGGCGGGACCACTTGCTGGAAATGACCGGGTAAGCAAGGCCCTCATTCCGTGACTCTGGGGAGAAGCTGTCAGGTGGCACCTCTGCCTCTGTCCATTTCTGCTTGCTGGAGCTAGCCCTTTCTTAGTCTGGGAACACACTTCGCCTCGAAGGGGAGCACAGAGTGAGGTCAGGTCTTCTTTGGCCTGCAAAGAGAAATTGTTAAGAGTGGAGGAAAAGACCTGTTATCTCAGCATAGGGGAACCAAAGGCAGGAGGATTGCTCTGAGTTCTAGGCCAGCCTGAACTACACGACAGGGCCCCATATGTAGTCTCTCTCTCTCTCTCTCTCTCTCTCTCTCTCTCTCTCTCTCTCTCTCTCTGTCTCTCAGGTACGCACTCAAACACATATGAACACTTACACTCACAACACATATTCACACACTCACACTCATGATTAAAAGTACTTTTTGGCTGGAGACCTCAGTTAGGAGCAGAGAAAAAGCCACCTGTAGTCTGGGAAGGGAACCCCCTCCTCCAGCAGACAAGGAGCCTAGTGTAAGTGTCTCTCCTAGGCCATCCCAGAGCACCGAGGGCAGGATGTCCAGGATGGAACTCTGATCCTAAGAATGGTAGAACTGCCGGGCGGTGGTGGCGCACACCTTTAATCCCAGCACTCGGGAGGCAGAGCCAGGCGGATCTCTGTGAGTTCGAGGCCAGCTTGGGCTACCAAGTGAGTCCCAGGAAAGGCGCAAAACTACACAGAGAAACCCTGTCTCGAAAAACAAAAAAAAAAAAAAAAAAAAAAAAAACAACAAACAAAAAAAAAGAATGGTAGAACTGTGGCCAGAGCCTAGGGAATTTGGTTATGAAGGCAGAAGCGTGCTGAAGAGCTGTCCAGGAGTAATTGACTTCAGCAGCTGGACAGCTTCTTCTCCAGTCCTGCTTCAACCCCTGGAAACTGGCAGAGCTTCCCTTGGATACTGCCCTCTGGTTCTCCGAGCTTTGGCCCTGCAGCTGTGCTGGGAACCTGGTCCACAGGAAATCAGTATTGGGAGGGAGGGAGGAGCCCAGGCGAAGCACAGCACAATGGGCTGGCAGCCTGTGACTCTGGGGAGCAGACTGGGGACTCTGGGGACCTCTGATTGTGCCTGTGAACCTGGGGTCAGGATTGCAGGGCAGATTAACTGGATAAAAGCCAAGGGGTAGCCAAATTTAGGCCAGTGCTTAGAAGCACAGGTGGCCATGGCCCGCAGCTTAAGAAGTCCCCTGACGCACCTCAGCCTTCACTTCCAACAAGGGAATTCCAGGAAGAGGAGGGAATCTCAGCCATATCCCTGTGCCACCTAGCTCTACTCACTGTCACCTGCCTGTAGCCTGGACACTCCTCAGCCTCTCTCCTCAGTTTCTCTTCCCCTACCATTACCAGGTCTTAACCTTGACCTTGACTGGAGGAATTGGGCTGAGAAGTCTGTGTTCGCTGACAGACTCCGCACCCCTCCCTGCCAAGATAAGGATTGTATTTATAAACTAGGGTTCTTCCAGGCTTGGTTCCCAGGTCACCTGCAGGCCCTCAGAGCGCTCCCCCACCCCCAAAATTATTGCCTGGCTTCCTCCACATTCCCCTATCGCCTTGGTCCCACTCCCAAGCTGGCTGAACCTGGAGTGATAACTGGAGAGATTGGTGTGTGGCAGAGCCTGAGAAAAGGTTATAGATGGGACTGGGGTAGGGCCTACCCTGGCTGGGGAGGAGCGATCCAAATGACAGGGCCAGCCAGGGTCTCCTAGCAACAGTAAAGTGGCAGGGGGCTGGGAAGAGGGGTGGGAACAATGATATCATAAATTACCCAGCCCTCCCACCCAGCCCCCTCTTGAGCAGGGTCCTTTCCCTCCCCGCCTGCTTCTCAGCCAGCTGGCCCTGCTCAGTACCAAGTACTCTTCCAGCCAAGGCAGCCATTGCTCACCTTCCACCGGGTGATACAAGGAAGGGACTGGAATTCTCGGACCCGTTGGAGCCTGCCCAGTAGTCCTAAGGCCCCACCAGCCAGCCTAGGAAATGGCCCCTCCCTGGTAGTTCCTGGCTCCTGTCTCCTCTAGGGTGCTGCTGACAGGGGAAAGGAAAGAAAGTTCCAAAACATTTGGGGACATTGAATGGAAATCCCCATGTCTTTTTAATTTTTTTTTGTTACATTTGGGGGTGGGGGTGGTGTGCAGGCCGTGGTACATGGGTGGAGGTCAGAGGACAACTTTTGGGAATCAGTTTTTTCTTCCACATGTGGGTCCAGGATATCAACTCAGGTTGTCAGGGTTAGGGCAAGTGCCTCTATCCACACCGAGTCGTCCATTTCACTGTCCCCGCTCCCCAAGTCTTTAAGGGGCATTTAAACTTCATACCAAGTTAATTAAGCCTCCATTTCCATTTCCCACCATCCAGGGAGAGGAATTGCTTTAAAATGATGGAAGCTGGGTGGTAGACCCCTCCTTGCCTTTCACCTCATCCGTGGTGAGCTAAGAGCTGGTGTGACAGTGAGAGATCGTGACTAGATGGTTGGGAAGGGCTCCAGAGCCAGGAATGAGAAAGACTGTGCAACTTCCTAACCAGAGTGAGAAAATGTCTGTCTTAGGAGCAGGAAACAGGATCTGCCCCCACCCCTGCTCTGCCCCCCACGTCTCTGGCAGCTGGAGATTGAACCAGTGCAGGCTAGGGCAAGCAAGTACTCTATCACTGAGCCCCAGCCCCAGCCCAGAAACAGGATCTGAACTTCTAGACACACTGAATAAAGTATAGCACAGAGCCAAGCACAGTGGCTCATTTTGACCATTGCCTTTTTTTTAGACAATCTGACATCATAACCCAGGATGTCCTGGAACTCATAATCTAGCCCAGGCAGGCCTCGAAACTGTAGTAATTCTGCCTCAGCCTCCTGAGTGCTGGGATTGCAAGTGTGTGTCACCACATATAGTTTGTGTGGTGCTGGGGATGGAATCCGGGGTCTTGTGCAATAGACAGGCACTCTACCAACTGAGCTACATCCTTTGTCCTGACATGGTAATTAACTAATGGGGTTTTGCTTTATTTGAGACAGGGTCTCACTATGTAGCTCTGGCTGTTCTGAAACTTGCTGTGGTGACCAGGCTGGTCTTGAACTCATAGAGATCCTCCTGCCTCTGCTTTTCAAGGGCTGGGACTGAAGAAACGTGTCATCATACCCAGAAATTCGGCTTGTTTTTGACACCAAGGTCTAAGTCTCTGGCCCTGGCTGGCCTCACACTCGCCGTTCTTCCGCCCAAGCCTTCTAGGGGCTGAGTGTGCAGGCATGAAGCACCGTGCCTAGCTTTCCTGGCCATTTGCAAAAACCAGGTACTGATACGAATTTTTAAGGGGCCTGTTTTCTGCCCCTCAGGAGCCCCTAGGAAAATCCAGAGAGGAGGTAGCGCCCTGAGTACAAGATGGCAGCCAGTTGTCATAGTAACAGCAGAAAGAGTCTGGTTGGCTGTGGGGGCGGAGCCGGCATGCCAGCTGGTGCCAGATGGACAGCCCAGCAGAAGGCAGCCCTAGCAGGTGAAACTCCACCGTGCTCAGGCTCTCTTCCATATGCCAGGCTCAGCCTGGTCCTCCCCTCCAGTTCTGGAGGCCTCAGTGTTGCTGGTGGGGGCTCAAGCCGGTGCCATTCCTTCCTTGACTCCTGCCTGCACAACAAGAGACAACTGTGTCCAGACAAAAGACCCTCCATGCTCAGAGTCTCCCTGGACCATGGCCCTAAGGACCCCACAGATTCTAAAGTAGCTCACTGCTGACCGTGCCCAGGACCGGAGAATCAGGCTGGAAGGCTGTGGACCAGGGCTTACAGGTCCTCATACATTTCCCTGAGCAGAGATTCCACAGTGCCTGGCTCATGCTGCTCTGGAGAACAAGGAGAGGGCCTAAGGAAGGAATGGGATTAGCTGTAGGCAATCTGGGAGCAAGCCTCCTAGTGGACTAGATCACTAGTACCCACAAGAGATGCCACCCTCTAAGACAGACCTGAGACACAGACAACTCCAGTCACTAGACAGACACCTAGCATGATTCTACTCTCCTCAGCTGGCTTCCTAAGGCCCAGGCTTCTGGCAGACTGTCACTTCGGTTCTGCCTACTTCCTCTTACTGTGTCCCTCAACATTCAGCATTGAGCACCGGACATTTTTTGCACACTATCCTATACAAAGGGCTACAGAAGTTAGGGCCCGAAGGCATTGACCACTTGCCTCTCTGCTCCTCTACTAGCAAGTGAGGGAAGTCAGAACCTGTATCCTGATCGGTCAGTCTGTCCAACCACAACTCTGTCTTTTATTGTCCTTCCTGTAGACTTGAACCCTTGACCTGCAAGTCATTCTACTGTCTAAAGTGTTTCAAACCCAAAGGGCAATTAAAAGGGCCGGGTAGGCAGCAAGGGCTTGATAATGAGGGGGAGGTCTCTCCTCACTGCTGATAAGCAGGAAGGGGCACTGAGGTGGGTTCAGGAGAGAGCTTGTACTTAGGAAGGTAAGAGTGCTTTAAACCCAGAGGTGGCCTACAGACTCCTTTTTGCCTCTGGTCACTGCTGTTCTTCCACTCTCCCACTACAGGGTCCTCAGTGTAAGGGGTGCCCTGTGATAGTCCCTCTAGGCTCCTGCGGGACCAGGCTCCAAACCTGGGAGAGCACACGAGGGCTGGAGAAGGAGAAGCCCGAAGACCCAGGAGGCCCAGCTGGAAAGGACAGGAGGTAGGCAGAGGTGGGGCCTAGACCTGGGGTCTGACTGGGCAGGACCAGGAACCCGGCTGGGAACAGCTTTCTACAGCCTCTCTGGAAGACTCTGGCCAGACCTAGCTTCATTCTTCTCGTGCAGACCTCTGGAAGCCTGAGGCTACCTCCAGCCCTACCCCCAATGCACTGAAGGCCCCAGGAGCTAAGTCTCCTCACCTGACAGCCACTGCCAAGGCCACTTACAGAGAAGCCTTTGTGTAAAAGCCTGGCATCTCGCTGACAGGGCAGCTTGGGGACCAGCAGTCCTTCCTCTCCTCCCTACCCGACTTGCTCTCAGAGGATCCCCTCAGACTAAGCCCTAGACCCCACCCCCAACTCTCATTACCCCTTCCTTCCTCCAGGAAGTTTCTGAGTACAGCTCCCTCCTCTCCATTTGAGCACCGGTCGGCCTTAGAGTCCTTGGCTTCTTAAATCTTTTGGTTTTTAATGTGAGAGCTCAGAAACCATCAGGTTGTGTGCCCGTGAACCCCCTGGAAGTGACATACCCCTCCCAGCCAGGCGCCACTTCCTAGCCTAGCCCGTGGCTGACTTCCTCGAACCCCACCATTTAACCAGCCCCATTTAACCAGCCTCGCTGCTTCAATATCTAAGGCTCCACCTCCTCTGAGGGACAGGCAAGTCCCCAGACAGACCGTGCTTTTCCTTTCTGACAGCTGCTTCCCACCACCCCCCTCCCCAAAGTCCCAAATACCTTGCTTTACTGCTCTATCATTGTCCTCCAGGAAGCCACTGGGCTTCTCGAAGAGCAACCGCCGGAGGTGAGTTGTGTCTGCTTTCCTGCTAGACTCTACAGGGCCATGGGAGTCTCTTCCAGCCTGGCGTGAACGAGGCATCCAAAGAGCTTGCCGACTGTAGGAGCCAACGTGGAGGAATAAGGAAAAGAAAAGCTTGGACACGTGAGTTGGCACAGGGAGGGAATGACAGGGTTTGGTGAGACTGATTTGGACATACGACAAGTGCTCAGGATTTGAACCTGGGGCTGGAGAGATGGCTCAGGGGTTAAGAGTACTTGTTGCTCTTCCAGAGGACCTGGGTCAAGTTCCCAGCACCCACATGGCAGCTCATAACCATCTGTAACTCCTGTTCCACGAGATTCAACGCTTTTTTCTCCTAGGGCACCAGGCATGTATGTGATGCACATACATACATGCAGGCATTCCTATACATAAAACAAATTCACAAAACTAAAAATTAAAAATTTGAACCTGAGGGTCTACAGGTTTAGAGCAAAGGAAACAAGAGTGTGGGCACAACTCACGCCAGTGAGCAACTGAACTCCCTGAGTAGGACCCCCCTCTTGAGCTCTGCCACCCCAGGGGCTAGAAGCACAGGCACCTTCCCAGAGTTCTTCACAGTAGGGTCTGGGCATGTGACCATTTCAGGCTCTAGGCTCTGATTTGAGAGCTAAGGACAGGACACTGGGAAGAGGAGAGGGTGTCCCTTAAGAAAGGAGAGTTTCTACCTTCAACAGATAGTTGAAATGACCGAAGTGACCACAAGGGAGACACCAGGCGCTGACACCTCAGTGTGGAGCTGGCTGACCCAGAGGCCTGCGTGAAGAAAAGTAGGAACAAGTCACTTCAGCTAGAACATGAGAAGCAAGGCCAACACAGACGCTGGGAAGATCAAACCGGCATGACGTTGTCCACAGAGGGCAAAGGCAGCGGCTGGCCCAGGTAAGAGGCTGTGAGTGGTCTTAGAGAGGGCACAGTTTCCAAAGGGTTGTGAAGATAGTAGTGGCCAGCTGTGCCGAAGAATATACTGCTAGTATACAGTGGCTTTCCATAGCCCGGAGACCCTCCAACTCCAGATGATCCTGCCTGCCCATGCCTTGCCCTGTCCCTCTCCTGCTGGGCTTCTCAACCCAGACTCTTCTAGTACCTGTGACATCACCCACAGTCTTGAGTCCTCTGGGATCTGTACCCAGTGATGAGTCTTCTCCGTCATCCTGCTTCGATGCTGAACCTCATAGTTCTTCTGGGAACACCCCCTCCCCACCACTCCCTGCCTCTTCATCTCCCTTTTTAATTTCACTGATAGTAATGTTCAGGTCTATTCCTGGTCAGCCAGGAAATCCTTCCCTGTGGCGGTGTTCTCCTTCATGTCCACCACCCAGGCTTGGCTCTCAGCCCACGTCGCTCAGAGGCGGCCATTTTAGAAACACCAACTACCTAAGATGGCGGCCTCCCTCTTCCTATGTTTCCATTCCCACAGCCTCATGTCCTACCGGGCTTTCTTTCTGAAGCCTGATTCCGACAAGGTGGGGGGCCCCGACGGAGGAGCCAAGGCCAGAGGAAGCAAGAGAAAAAAAGGACAGAAAAGTCAGCCCCTTGGCATCTCTCTTTGGCATCTGAGTCCAACCCAGGGAGGGAGGGCAAGAGGGAAGAAAGAAAGTAGTATGAGTTTTTATTTCTAGCCTCTTCCTGCCACCTCCCCCCCCAGCTCTCCCCCCACACTTTGATGAAAACAAAATCTCTCCCTTTTTCTCTTCTCCACCCCCCCCACCTCTTTTTTCCTGGCTTCTACCATGAGCCTCCTGCAATGCAAATGAACTGTATTATGCAAATATATGCAAATAAGGCTTAACGAGCGGAAGGAGGGGGCAGAATGCCTAATGAGTAATGGTGAGGGTACAGATGGAGGGTGTCAGGGATGGCTCCCTCCTCCTTTCAGTTCCCACAGCCTGGAGGTTTGCTAAAGGTAGCAGGTGTCCCTCATTTCTGGGAAAGTGCAGAAGGCCAAGGTCCCAACACAGCCTATCACTTCCGTTGAGGAGTCTTAGGATAGCTTTGGCTATAGGCAAAGGACTGGAGAGCTTGAGGAGAGAGGGGTTAAGTAGAAAGAATCGGTGCCCACTGTCTCTCCTTGTCTGGATACTGGATATGCCAGCCTCACTGCCCTGTGGGCCTTTGGTTCCGGGTGCCGAGGGTGGTACATGCACAAGCATGGCGTGGCTGAGCGTGAGAGAGGGGGATTCTCAGGGGAAGATTCCCAGGCAGACCCAGGTTTCTCCTAGAGGTGGGGGTGAGAGCTATCTTTTTGTGTGCTTTGGGGTTGGGGGTTGGGGTGGTTACCATGGCAACATAGCATAGAACACCCACCTCCCCAACATTCAGCCCCAGAGGACTTAGGGGTTGGGGGGTGGATAATGGATTGACACCCCCCCATGCCCCCGCCACCTGGCACTGCCAGCCGGAGATGGCAGCGTCAAATAGGAGAGAATGGTCCCTTTGTTTCTAGGCTCACGGTGTTGGGGGAGCAAGCATGGGCACACAGACGGGCCTTTCCCAGGCCCCTTTCCAGTTTGCATGGCTCCTGCTGGCCTCCAGAGACTCCTGGGGCCATCCACTGGCCTCCATCCCCTGGCAGATGGCGCCCCCCTTGCCTTTTCTCCTAGGTAAGCCTTCCCCATGCCTTCTGCAGGGCTTTCCCTTAGAGCCTTCTCAGACAGTGAGAACAGTCAGTCCCACCTCTTCCTGGTTCCCATTGATACTTCACATTCCCAGACATGCATCCTGTCTTTGTGTGGAACACCCCCTGTGAAACTCCTGCCAGAACTGGGCAAGGAGATTCCTAAAGGGGGAATCAGACGCAGAAAAGCCTGAGCCTTCAAGCTTCACTCACCAGATGGATGATGACCTGTGTCACACACACACTCACACACACACACACACACACACACACACACACACACACACGGGTATGTATAATGACAGAGGGTGAAGATGGGTGAAGATGTATAATGACAGAGGATGAGACTTGTTTTAGCTTCAGTTGATCCGTACATTCTATGTCTTCCATGACTCCCACGGAATCCTTCCTGACCTCTGACCTTCAGCCTTCCTATCACGGCTCTCCTTCTGTGTCTTCACAAGTTCGAGCCCAGTGTTCCTGAGGCTGCCATGCCACATCTCTCAGCCTGTCTCCCGAGACTCCCCCAGATCCAGAACATAGCGCTGGATGTCTGCCTGGAATGGAGACAGGAAGACGTCCACGCTCCTAAAGGGGTCAACAGGCTCACTCACCGCTAGGAGCTGTCCGTGGTGCTGGATGTCACTGGTCCACACGTCCACAGGGCAGAGAGAGGGCGGGAGGGTGGAGCACCCACCCGCCCAGCAGAGAAGCTGAAGGGAAGAAAGGCAGAAACATTTGGATACAGTAAGAGAAAAGGCAATTTTAAAGGAGGTCTCCCTGCTACTGGAGGGGAGGAGAGCCCTGGAGTCAAGGAGTGCTGAACTTGCCACCCCTTCATCCTAGATCTTCAAGAGCCCCAGATTGGCCCAGCTCTCCTCGGGATCCTTTTGAAAAATCCACAGCCACAAGCAAGGCTGAGTCAGTGCTTTTGCCCTTAGGGAAGAACAAGGCTGAGGCCAAAGACAGACCTTTAGATTCCATTCTAGAAACTAAGGCCTCTGCAAGTAATTTAGTAATAAAGATGAACAAGAGATCGACCTGCCAGTGGCAGCAGCGTTATAGATACAGCAGGGGCTGGGGAGGAAGGTGAGTGTGCAGTCTCCACACAGAGATGAGACTGTATCCGTGGTGTGCATTCCAAGGCTTCATTCCCTCTCTGAATTTTGGGCTGGGCCAAGTCCAAACATCTGTATGGGGGTGGAGGGTGGTTTTAGTGTGTAGCCAAGTCTAGAAGCACTGGTCCAGAAGGAGGCAGATAAGAAAAGGTGCCTGAGCTGCTGGAGGAAGAGGCACCCTTACAGAAGGGAAGGACAGGGAAGAGAGAGGCTCAGAGAGGGGGGCTCCGGGGCCTTGCCTAGGCCCCGTCAGGTGTCACGATCTTCTCTTCTGTGCTGTGGAAACTCAAACCACGCAAGGCAATGGGATGTGCAGTGTCCCTACAGGGTACCCTCTCACGGACACAGGGAATGGGTGCCACAACCTGAGGGTATGCTATTCCCCTCAACCAGAGGGTCCCGGGGAGGCAGCTGTGGAAGGTAAACAGTAACAATGGTCCCTTTCAGTGTCCAGACTCCAGCCCTTCAGTCCAATTAGTAGACACTGCAAACAGCAATTCAGCCGCCTTCAGCCGCTGTCATAACAAGCTCAGAGCTGCCTTAATGGGGGATTAGGGCAGGCGGAGGGGTGTCACTCTAGTCCTGGCAGAGCCTGGGTGGCAAGGAACCTCCCTTTTTTCTCACCTCTCTCCTAGCTAAAAGCACACCCACCCACCCTTCCTTTCATAACCCTGAGCTCCCTGTCCTCCTCAAAAGCCCAAAATGTTTTCTAGCTTCCTTCTCCTCCTCCCCTGCAGTGATTCGAAGCCACCATTAACCTAAACCCACTTATTTCCTGGGCATGTTGGCCCATCTTGCCTATTGGTACAATAACCTCATCTCCCCTATTGTGGGGTCTTTTAAAAATTATCCTCTTAGACAAGGTCTCAGTGTGAACAAGCTGGCCTTGAATTCTGGATCCTCCTGCCTCAGCCTCCTGAGTATTGAGATTATAGCCATGACCCACTAAGCCCAACTCCTGCTTTGGGTAACTCTAGAATCTAGATATTTAATGGCAGACAGTTGTAACTATCACTTACACATTATGAGTAGGTCAGTTTACCAGTCACACATGCTTTTACTCAGGAGAAGGAACACAAAGCCAGACATGCCTGTACTCCAAGCATTGGAAGGTTGAGGCATTAGTTAGAATCCAGCCCTGGCTACCTTGTGAATTCTAAGCCAGTCTGGGTTAAAAGTAAAACTGTGCCTCAAAAATTTGACAGAGAGATGTGGGTGGGGGGATGACTTGAATGGTGACCGGGGACCCCAGCTCTGCCCCTAACAGGCTTCCCATGGGTACCCTCCTGTCCCTCCTTTCAAAAGTTCACCGTTCCTTGATCACAACCATGCCAAAGAGATCTTCCCAAGCTACAGCCTTTCAAGCCTCTGCAGTGAAGGATTGCCTCCCTGTGGATGTTACCACATGGTGTATAGAGGTCATCCTTTGCTACACAGAATGATCGGGGCAACTCAAAGGTAGTGTATACATGGCATGCCTGAGACCAGATTCCACCCTCAGCCTCACAAAACAAAACCAAGGTTTTTTTGTTTTGTTTTGTTTTGTTTTGTTTTTGTTGTTGTTTTTTAGAAAAGGTCTCACTATGTAGCTCTGGCTGTCCTGGAACTCACTATGTAGACCAGCAGATCTCAAACTCACAGAGATCTGCCTGTATCTGCCTCCCAAGTGCTGAGATTGAAGGCTTGTGCCACTCCCACACTCTCAACAAGACTCTTTCGATGTCTAGAAAAGGTAAGGGTATTGTCTTTGGGTTGGGTCTAGGTAGGTGATCAAGCAAAATCTGAGTCAGATATTTACAAGAAAATTGCCTTCAGCTGACTGGACCAAGAGCTCTACAAAAGCTTGAAGAAAATTGGGTCAAGAAACTAGCTGAGGGCCGGGCGGTGGTGGCGCACGCCTTTAATCCCAGCACTCGGGAGGCAGAGCCAGGCGGATCTCTGTGAGTTCGAGGCCAGCCTGGGCTACCAAGTGAGTTCCAGGAAAGGCGCAAAGCTACACAGAGAAACCCTGTCTCGAAAAACCAAAAAAAAAAAAAAAAAAAAAAAAGAAACTAGCTGAGGGCCTGGAGAGATGCTCAGTGGTTAAAAGCACTGGCTGTACTTTCAGAGGACCCAGGTTCAATTCCCAATACCCACATGGCAGCTCACAACCATCTGGAACCCCAGTTCCAGGGGATCCAGCACCTTCTTCTTGTCTTCAAGGACGCACATTTGGTCCATAGACAAATACACAGGCAAAACACCAACAGGACACTAATTATTTTTTTCAAAAAATTTTAAAGAGAAGAAAAGAAACCAGATGTAAATTTGGTTTCCAGGAAATCTGGTGGATGCAGCAAACTTTGAAGAGTACAAATGGCAGGTATGAGCCCCAGGCAGATTGCGACTACACAGAGGAGGTTTCTCAATTGGGTAGCTGGAGGAGTGTAAACGCCCATGAAAGCAGTTCTGCGTAGTTTAATTGGGTAAGGAGATAGAGAGAAGGAGTGGGTGGTGAGCCAGGCATGGTGTCTCATGCCTGTAATTTCGGCATTTGGGAGGCTGAGGCAGGAGGATTGCCATGAGTTTCACGTAAGCCTGGGCTACACTCTGTCTCAAAAACAAAAGAGAGAGATCCTGGGAGACATTCCAGTGGATAAAGGTGATTACCACCAAGCCTGACACTTGAGTTCCATCCCCTGAACCCACAGGGCTGGAAGGGGAGAAGAGACCTCACAAACTGTTCTCTGACACAAAAGAAATAAGAAGTTCAAAACAAATACTTTTCTAAGAAATAAAGGAGAGGCGGGGACTACAGGTGTGGCTGTGACTGAGGCCTGCATTTAGTAAACTCCAGCTGGTTTCTGCATTTTTCTTGCCACATCCTAGCATCCCCAGTGGCCCAGCTGAGTTTGCTAGCTCACCATGGCGCTGTGCACTCCAACCTCCAACCAGTCCCCACACTGCTGTTCTCTACCCTCATCATTAGACACATGTACTTCACAAAGCCACACACCGCCCTGCTGAGAACCCCACCCACGCAAACACAGTGTGCGCTTAAAAAAGACACGAGCCCCGGGAATCCACAATCCTCCTTCCCTAAAGCCTTCTGGCCTCTTGGAGAGCCTATAGTTCAATATGCTTATGGGAGACAACGATAATAAAACCATTGTGGTTAGCAATCGAGGCTCTAAGTCTCCTAGGGATGAGCCTCAGGTGTGCAAAATATACATTTCTTTTAAAATTTCTTTGTTTTGGGGTGTGTGTGTGTGTGTGTGTGTGTGTGTGTGTGTGTGTGTGTATGGGGCGGGGATCTAGGCTGGCCAGGGACTTGGTATATAGACAAGGATGACCTTGAATTCCTGATCCTCCTCCTCGACTTCCCAAGTGCTGAGGTTAGAGGCCTGTGCTGTGATGGAGGACTGTGTAGCTCTGGCTGTCCTGGAATTTATTATGTAGACTGGGCTACACATCTGCAACACCATACAGAACACATTAGAAACAGTAATGATAAGGAAGCTTGTTTTTCCTGGTGCTGCTCCCCCGTCCACAAAAATCCCTAATAACCGTGAGGCTTTTCTTCTCTGCTTCCCTCTTCCTCAAGGCCAGTTGGCTCCCTTGGGTCTCACTTTCTCCAAGACAGAGTCCATGGAAGGAGCATTGGGTGTCAAGCCATTGAGTAACATCAGCTGCTCACTTGGGTCTGTGTGACATGGGATAACGGCATCTTCCTGGCAGTGTCAGATGATGAAAAAAGAAAAAAAAGGCATGTGGCCTTGGAGACCATCAGTCCCAGCCTAGAACCTGCTCCTTTTCTCAATTCAGGCTCCACCTCCCCCCACAACCAAACAAAACAAATTCCAAGCTTCTAAAACCACAAGAGGCCACCCCAAACCTCTAAAGGAGGCCCTCCCCAAACCACTAAAGGAGACACACAAGGGCAATAGGTTCCCTAACGCTCCAAATTTTGAATTTGGATTCTCCAATATTTCTCCCATGTAATACAAAATTGAATCAGTATCTTCTAGCTATAAAATCAAGTCCTGGGAGGAAATTTTAAATTTACAAAAGACACTGGAGTCTGTGCAATGACATTTTGCTCAGGTTTTTTTTTTTTTTTTTTTTTTTTTTGCCTCTTATTAGTCCTTACAGCCCTTGTCTCCAAGTGCCAGGTGGTCAAGTCCGGTCCAGAGCCATATGAATGCAGCGGGAATTCCTAGCCCTGGCCATGCTTGGTAGACCATCTTCTCGCTGTAGAAACCCTCTTTTACTAAAATATTTAGGTCAGGCCAGATAAATAGATTCTTTTTGCAGGAGCCCCAATTAATCTCTCTAATTCTTTGCTTTCTCCAGGCAGCACAGCTACACATTCCTTTGTGTTTGAGATCCTCGGAGCTCCCCGAGGCCGTTTGTTCCTTTGGGACATGATTTCCAAAAGTGAGGCTAGAACTGGAAGATAAAGACCTCCCCGACCTTTGGCCGTTAATGACAAAGCAGCCCGTGAGTCTTCAGGTCCTTAAGGTGCAAAGTGAAAGCAAAGAACCTGCCCCCAGGATCCCCGAACTCCAGTGGGGCGAAAGGGTCTCTGGCCATCCCCCGCCCTTGTTCTTGTGTGT